TTTATCCCCATTCTTGGGTAGTGAAATGCATGGGGCTTGCATAAAAGTCAACTTTTGCATGGAATGCATGCTTTTCTGTAGTTTGTGACTTGATTCCATACATGTACTACAATATTGAAAACCAAACTTTACTTGTTTGAAAAATACACGAAAATATTGGTGTCACAGGAACTTTTGTTGTTGAGTATATAAGTAGATCCAAAGTGGTTAAACTGCATGGCTGGATACACAGACTCGGCCAATTAGGAAGTCAAACATTCAGGCGTTTTTCAACCGATCAGTTCAACGTCATTCTAGGAATTCGACCTATCAGGGTGTAACCTGCATAAAATGACACGAAGAAACCATCTGAAAGAAGTAAATGCAACAATGTATGGTTTGATACTGAATGTGAACAGTTGAAACGTGAAAGATGTAGAGCACTGAATGGATTATGTAAAACATAAGGATGGCCACTCATCGGGGAATTACAGCTACATACGAAACAAATATAATTCTGCGTGTAGACTTAAGGAATGCATATATTGAACATAATAGATGGATTGAAACATAAACAATTCAAAGACTTTATTTTATAGTTGTGATTAACAGTTTGAATTGCAAAAATATCAATTATTTAACATCTTGTTCAACATTGATGATTTCACTGAAGATGCAACAGAGGATATATTCAGTATGCCTATCACAAACGATGAAATATCGAACAGCATTTGTAAAAAATGTAACAAATCTCCTGGAATAGATGAAACATTTCTGAATTATTTATACACTCGGCGGATCTACTTATCAAATATTAAGACTTGTTATTTAATGTGATGTGTGGTAAGGGATACATCTATTGGTGTTTCAATTCAGGTGTTTCTAACAAGGGTGACAACTACAGAGGGATAACTCTGTTGTGTATCTTCATTAAAATATGTTTTACTTTTGTTATTGATAAGAAACTTGTGTCTTAGGCCATGCCATGGATACTCTCAATGTTAAGGTGTATCTAGGGAATGATATTCAACAGTTGATAATGTCTGCATATTTTTAATCTCTAATACAGCGCTATATCAACAAGAAATGTGGAAGGTTTACAAGTTATTTGTTGTCTTCTCGAAAGCATTCGATTTTGTACATAGGTGTAAATAATGGCGATTATTTAATGCACGTGGGCTTTGTTCCAACATGTTGAAATTATTACACAGAAATATGAAAATGTTTAAACGTGTGTACGAGACAAGGATGTAATTTCTGATATGTTTGCATGCGTGCGCCCAAAATGTATATTGTGTCAGTTAGTGTTTTCCTTTTTCATAAATGAATTAGCATCGGTAACCGTAACAATTGTCCAAACGGTATTCAATAACACCTATGTGTGTTTCAACTCTTTCTTTTATTATTTGCATATGTATAATCTTTACATGCAAGAGAAACATCAGTCCAGGTCAAGAGAATTATATTTAGATTAATGACAAAAAAGATCTTGGTCATTCTTCACTTTACGGTTCTGAAGTATTAGGGGTTAAACAATTCATTGTTATCGAAAACTGGCATGATATTTGAAAGATGTCTTGGTGTAAAGATCAACACATCTAGAGCAATGGTTTATGTCGAATGTGGTAGATTTCCCCCATTCATAGTCAGAGCTAAAAGTTAAAAGGTACTGGCTGAAACTCCTTAAAATGAATTCATCGAGGTACCCTGAGAAATGTTACAATAGGATGATGTTATATGATACCAATGGGAAAAACAACTGGGTAACTGATGGGAAATAATTGTTTGGCAATAGTATTCGGTGAAATATTTGGTAGGAATAATCTGTATGATCTGAAAAGATTATTTATCATTTCTTTTCTGAAGATTTAATATCTGTAATCATGGTCATTATCCACAATAAACACCGTTTTATATCATAGAATGTTGAAAACGGTTCAAATATTGTGAAATGCCGACATCTGTTAAACAGCCTAGACAAATTATCAACACAAAACATGTCCATATAGAAATAACAAGCACTGCTGTATAGAACCAAGTTTGTGAACACAAGTTAAGATTGTGTGCAACACCTCTGTGATATGTAATTTAGGAGCTTTAGAGCTTGAAAACAGATAGATTACTATACAAGGAGACCTACTTAGCCCAGTAAACTCTCTTTTGTTCAATATACTTGCTTAGCCAAATCCATCGTCTTTATTCTACAAGCCCTGGTAACCCAAATCCATCCTCTTTATACCATTAGACATGCTCAGCAATATTCATTCTCTTTATGCCAGGATCCCTGCTTAGCACAGTACATCATCTTTATACCCTGAGCCCTTCTTAACTTAGTTCATCCTATTTAGTCCAGGATCCATGCTCAGCACAGTCCATCCTCTTTATTCCAGGATCCCTGCTTAGCTCAGTCCATCCTCTTTATTCCAAGATCCCTGCTTAACCCAGTTCATCCTCTTTATGCCAGGATTGTTGCTTAACCCAGTCCACCCTTTTTATTCCAGGATCCATGCTTAGCACAGTCGACCCTATTTATTCCAGGATCCATGCTTAGCACTTTACATCCTCTTTAAACCAGGAGCCATGCTTCACCTAGTCCATCCTCTTTATACCAGGAGCCTTGCTTTGCAAAGTCCATTCTCTTTATACCAGGGGCGGTTAGTTTTGGGGGTAACGGTTGAGAGGTATGGCGGAGGGCTGAACGGATTGTGGCCCTCTGTGTGTCCTAAAGTCAGTTGTGTCCATTATATACGTCGAATAAATGTACAGCCTGTTTCATCCTGTGTTCCCGGTGTAATTCCTGCAATGGTGGCAGCGGAAACGTGAACTATTCAAGTTTGAAAAAGCCTCTGGCAATGCGAATGTGGACAATGAAGAACAACGAGGTGGAATTACAAGGATTTCAAGACCAATTGCTTTGCCGGATTCTTACACAGGTGAGGGGAGTTTTACTGATTGGCTTGGATATTTTAACTTAAGCGGAGAATTTAATGGATGGACAAGTGACTTGAAAGGAATCTCAGAGACGTTGCGAAATCAGTGTATGCAAGCTGTCCATGAGAACAAAAAGCAGATCTCACATAGCGAAGAGAAAAAGAGAAACTACAGTTTTGCAATTCAGTTCACGACATAGTAAAAGAAACTGAATCGTTGGTGGTGTATGGAACTGATGTTAGGAAACTATCTATATAAGCTTATCCTAAAATGAGTATCGAAGAATAAGATGAGATTGCTACTAACCAATTCACGATGGGATTAGAACCACGTGAACTGAGAATGATTGTTAGCCATAGCATACCCGATAGTGTGGATGAAGCTTTGAGGATCGCATCAGAATGGGAAATCATAGAAAAACATGATCACAGAGAGGGTGTAAGGAGTGATTTAGCGGTTGTGGATTCTTCTTCTCAGTCATTACAGGTGACAGTTACGCAACAACTAAAACAGACTGACTTTGGAGTCAAAGTCCTTTAATTCAGAACAAAATTTGGATCCCAGAGTCAAACCCGTGCTATGATTGTCAAGGTTTTGGGACACATTGCAAAATATTGCAAACAACAACGGGAGGTTACCTACAAACCCACAAACACGACCGGCCAATATAAGGTATGTAGCTGTCGGTGACTTACAGTCGGTAATATCAGCAAATAATAGGACTGTTATACAACGACATTTTCCGCATCTATCACAACATCATTCGACACTGACACTGTCGTAGACTGGACACGCTTATTTGCGAACCGATAAGACAACTCCAACCATGCATGTGGCAGAAGGAAACGATGATCAGGATGGCCCAGACATAAACAGGATTATTTCTTCTTGCAATTTAAAGCACCAACTCATATGTCATGAGATTTTTTTTTATGAATGTGCCTAGTCGTGTCTTGAAAACCAAGTTATTCCAACTCCAAAAATATAACTTTCAAGTTAAAGCGATTTGAAATTTGTAATGCTTGTATTTTAACTAGATGTTATTCCATATTCACTGTATTTGGTACGAACGTGTATAGATGCATTCTCAAGTCACAAGTACATGCTAACGTTTCGAAAGTTCATACATATTCAACAAAATAGATTTTTATGTTTGGAGATAGAATAATTATCTAAAATATTTACAGAAATCTTGAGTTCCAGATTTTCCCAAACACCATTTCCAGTTTGGAACTATACTTTAGATATGTATTTGTTGTCTGTATGTCTCAAAACTTGCTAGAAAGGAGAAATATTCCTTTTCTATTTTCAAATATATCTTTATTGATAACTATTTAAGTAAAGAAATCATCAACAACTTCATTTAGTGCTGAGCAAATAAGCTTTGTGGATTGTCTTGTGATTTCACGGTTCGCCCCAATTATGTTTCTAGGTTTGTCAGCACCATACCCGTGCTCGTGGGTTTCACCGAAGTCGTAAACGTCTGAGACCTGCATCACTTAGGGCTTTCCTCCCACATTAAGCTGGCACGCCGTGATATAACTGGAATAATGTTAAAAGCGGCGTTAAACCCAACTCACTCACTCTTGTGATTTCAGATCAAAATGATTATGGTATAATGTTACACTGCATATTATCTTAGCACCATTCCAGTAAACAGTATCAAATGACTGTCATTATCATAGTACCATTCGAGGAACCGACACTTAAAAGTGACAGGTCGGGTAATTATTATTTCCTTGGTTAATTATAAGTTGCCGTTTTTTAAACAGTTTTTCATAAGGTGAAAGAAATGATGGTGAAGAAAAAAGACTAGCAATTAACACCGTAACCGTGTTACTCAATACAATCCACAAATAACAATATATAGGGCGCCTTTTTACTAATTGACAGATACAACATTGTACATGTACATATTTATTTTATTCACCTTCAGTATCTGCTTTTAAGTGTTCAACTTTTATGTTTAATCATTAGTTCAGATAGATTGAATCCAGTTAACGTGTCCTTCATGTTGTAAGCCTTAACAAACCCAAGCCATGACGTGCTCAACTGATTGGCCAAGCTAACCCCCAAAGTTGACCCTTTGTATCACTGCATGTTCTCAGTCTGCACACATTTCTTACACAGACAAGTTGACAAGTGAATCCTCTAAAATCAGGTTGGTTTAATATGTTTTGTGCATATTTGTATTGTATGTTATTGCAGTTAAATAATGCAGTATATTAAACCTATAATACTAAATTTAACTAAACGTGATTAATATTATCATATACTCAGTTACAATCTATTTAAGTAAATGTGGTAAACAAGACATAAATTGTAAGTTTGGTAATTACTAATATATCACTTTCCTGTCCCTTATTCTTGTTTGTATGAGGAAGAGTGTATGTGTTGTTTTTATGGAATAGGCTATGTTTTAAATGCTTTTGTGATCAGTTCTGTATAATATACAGTCTGTATTATACGGGATCCGGATTAATATTTTGAAGTTGTATGTAAATAACATAGCTGTATTAATCATTGTTATAAAAGTATATGTTTTATTTAGATATCCGGAATACGTTGCGGCACTGTGGTCGGGAAGACATCCCAGTCTCACCCACAGGGTGGGCACATGCTAACTTGTACTTACTTACTTATATTGGAGATTTTACGTGCGCTTTCCGACTGCAGCGTATTTCGCACACGGGCCCGGCCAAGCCATTTAATGTGTTTCCGAAAAGGGGAAAAAGTTGTTTGGCAATCCAGTAGGGGTGAGCACATGCTAACTTGTATAGTCAGTTTCTATATTTGTGAAACACAAAAGTGTGTTACACTCGTAAATTCATGTATAGGTATGTGTAGTGATTGGTGCATCCACACTCGTACATTAGGTTACATCGGATTGGCCACCCGATGCTGCTCGTATGTTTCCGGGTGTGATCGAGGCACGTGATCGACTTACCAGCCAAATATGACAGGTGACAAGTGACAGATTGAGACTGGACAGCAAAGACAACGGACGAAACCAACCGAAGCTAACACGATCTCGATCTCCCCATCATCACACTTACGCTGTAAGGAAAGCACCTTTTCCCACATCACTAGGCTCTCACAACAATGGCGCTGTGAACAGGATTTAGACTATTTCAGTATTTGTGATATTTGTGACAAAAGTCAATATGTCACACGACAATGGGAAAGGACTAATGAATGGGTCACGTGATGTCCTTATATAGAGCAAAACTCGTAGTATGCAGCGGTTTGAGCTTTTTTCTGTGGCTATTAGAGTAATACCCCAATGCTCTTTAGTTTTTATATTTATCACTTTTCGGCCGTAAAAACATACTCGTAATGTTAAATGCACAGTAATATCAAAGGGTGTTGATGTATCTATCCATGTGTTTTGATCATGTCAACCGCTGGACGCTGCATGCTTTTCACCCGGCGTATTACGTGTTAAATTCATGGTGTTGATTGCAGTGTTGCATGTACCTAGCTGTCAATCACTGTCACTTGGTGCATGGTAACGCTGTAACAACTCCCATGGCTTTGCGTGTTATGTTTTTAATATAAATTCTGTCAGCATATTTATATATGTGTAGTGTTACCATCATTTATCCAGTTATACTATTATTATTATATGTAGATATATTATGTATTCACATTAATGCACATTAAATAGTGGGTAAGTATTCTGCAGGTCTTTTCATTAATGCAGGGGTTTGCAGGTATGTATTCACTGTTCATTATTGTTTATACAAGGTTTTCGGCTGACACTTCTGCACTCAGTCATTCGCATGACTGACAGCGGTCAATGTCACCTAAGCCTGGGGTTATATTTATGTATATTAGGTTTTTCAATTATGTATACAATGTGTTAGGTTGACACTTCTGCGCTCACTGGGCTTAAAAAACACCCTCCTCTCACTCTATACATGTATATAACTAATTAGATCCAAACTAGACTATGGCAGTGCCATTTACGACACCCTAAACAACTCTCTCATTAAAAAACTAGACTCATTCCAGTATCAGGCCCTAAAACTAATCACACGAACTCAACATGGCACCTCCTCCACCTCACTCCAGGCCTTAACAGGAGAAATGCCACTTAAACTACGTAGGGAAAAACTTACCCTAAACTTCTGGGCCGCGTCCCAATCAAACTCTCTAATCGAAAACTTAATAAAAAACAATATTAGCCCTAGAAACCAAGCCCTAGCCCGGAAAAATCCACTACTTATTCCAATTTCCCAAAGAATAACCAATTACCTAAATGAACACAAAATAAATAATCTTAAACAAAACAATAAATCATCCAATATCTTCACTCCAAAACTTAAAATACTAAAAAAAGACACAACACTAGCCGATACACTAAATAAACAGACCGATCCTAACATCGCTAAAACCACCACACTAGCATACATACACGGAAATTGGCCAAATTGGTGTCCCATATACACAGACGGATCCTCAGATCCGATCTCAAAACACACAGGTTTCGGAGTCCACATCGCACAACCATCCAAAAACACCCAATCTTACCGAAACCAAAAAATCCTCATCCTAACCGACTCCCTCAGTGGACTACAAGCCCTCAAAAATAAAAACACTGAAACCGCCCCAAACTTATAAATCAAATACTCAAAAGCTCAAACAACTTAACTAAGGAAGGTAAACAAATAGAGTTCATTTGGATCCCCGCCCACGTAGGAATCTTTGGAAATGAAAACGCAGATAAAGCAGCAAAATTATCCCTTAAACTCCCAGAAATAAGCTTCAACTTACCCAGCTCAAAATCAGAAATCAAAAGTGTCCCTTAACAAAAAATCAACAAAAAATGGCAAAATATATACCAAAACTCAAATAGCCAAATCAGGAAAGTACTAAAAAAAACATAACTAAACCAAAAATACTACACCCATCCAAAAAAATCGACAGAATAATTACTAAACTACAAACAGGCCACACCAAACTAAATAATCACCGTAAAATAGCTAATCTACACACAACAGGAAACTGCCCACATTGCAAACAACAAGAAACACCAGAACACGTACTCATTCACTGCACACACTACCAAACACACCGAACAACACTACAGACCACCCTCAATCTTAAAACCGCACTTACACTAGAATCAATCCTAAATCCACAAAATAAATTAGAACAAATTCAAAGCCTTAGGCATATACCTAATCAAAACAGGACTAATTAGTCGCATTTAAACCCCAAATAAAATATTAAAACCAAAACTACCTAATCTAACAACCACCCAACACACACAGCTCCCTTAGTTTGTCCTCCACCCACTCGTGGCATTCATTCCAAATCTCAAAATTTCAAAATTACTATATAAGCATCCCCTAAAGCCCCCTCCTGGGTTGCACAAACTCACTTTTCCCCTTTTCGCAAACACGCTAAATGGCCTGGCCGGACCCGTGTGCGACATACGCTTGCAGAAAGCGCACGTTAAATCTCCAATATAAGTAAGTAAGTATTGTGGTAGCTTTTGCAATTGTTAAGTATATTTATTTATTTGTCATTTTTATGGTCATGTTTATGCCATGCATGAAATGTGATTGTGTTATATTAGCATAGGTCAAACGTTAGATGGTGCAAGTATTTCACCCTAGTATGGCCAGGTTTCATTTCAGTTTGAGACACCCGCTGACCGTACAGATTATTTTAGGGTATGCCATCTGCTTTGTTCACTGCTGGTACAGTTCGGTTTTCTTGCCTGCAGTGTTGTGTGTTCATCTGTAAGTCTGGTAGCGTTAGGTAAGGGTAGTTAATGCTTAGCAGCTGAGTAGTCGGTCCTCCGGGGGGCGATATGGGATTACTTAATCTGACTGGAACGGAGTCCACCGATCTGGTCTTTATTCTAGGATTCTCATAGCAGCTTTGTCGTCTTTTTAAGTTACGTGAACCAACTCGGTTGCCACCAAACAATTTGGTTGGGGATTTTCTAATTTAAGACGCATGAATAATATTAACCACGCGAACTGTTTCGGTTGATAGCACAACACTGCTGCCCAACCCTGCAGGGATTTTTATATGTTTTGGTGAGGTCACCTGTTAGATCCTCCCTCAGCTACACTCACTGATACCACAGTGGGGGTGGGGGCAGGTCCAGAAAAGAGGGAGGAATGTAGTGATGGGTGCTTCCACACTCGTACATTAGGTTACATCGGTTTGGCCACCCGATGCTGCTCGTATGTTTCCGGGTGTGATCGAGGCACGTGATCGACTTACCAGCCAAATATGACAGGTGACAAGTGACAGATTGAGACTGGACAGCAAAGACAACGGACGAAACCAACCGAAGCTAACACGATCTCGATCTCCCCATCATCACACTTACGCTGTAAGGAAAGCACCCTTTTCCACATCACTAGGCTTTCACAACATGTGTATTTCGAAAGACATTTGTAATCGCTTTACACTTAGATAATTTATGGATAATTATTCTATTTGCTTCTTACATCAGTTAGCAGATTATTGTACAGTTTAACAACTAATATATGAATAAGATGTGTTTGTAATGTAAAACGGTTTGTTATACTGTGATGTCGATGACTGCATTATGTATATTGTTAATATTACTTATCATTCCTTTAATATGTTTCAGGGTGTAGATACTAGATAGATAAATATATGACAAATCCATTGGCGGAATAAACGTCTCTCACCCGTAGCGTGTGTTTGCCTATCACTCATTCACTGCCCTGCTACATTTATTTGATATCAATAATTCAATAACCAAAGAATGGATTTACATCATCAATTTGATTTGATTGTATCATGAACTATTTATTGATATCGCAAACCGATTTTTAGATATAAATTATTGAATTTATTATATTAGTTAATGTACTTTATCATCTAAAAATTCTAATATATGGTATAGTGTCTATAGCCTTCGTCTCCGTGAACCTTGTGCTCATTTTTAATAGTTCGTGTAGATAGCTACAGTAACGTAACATTTACATGTATAGTCATATTCAAATGTTGTCTCTACATATATGTAAGGGCATGCTTCTTCCCTTTCTTTAATCAGTTTTCCCTTGGCTCTGAATGTGGAACACAGGCTTTAGGATTACATATGTATCTTGTTATTTTTCTATTTTAATGCTATTTATATTTACTGTCGTACTTACTTCATGTTGTACA